GTCAGAAGTAAAGACGTCCGTGACAAATAAACGAATGTTCAACAAAATAGACGGGAATAGGGATCTTCTGATGTGATGTGTGTGTGAGTGTGTGTGTGTGTGTGTGTGTGTGTGTATGTGTGTGTGTGTGTGTACATATTATGTTCTTCCAGCTGTATTCTCTACATATGTGCTTTTTTATCGAGTGTGTGTACTTACTCACCTACCTAAATCATTTTTGCACACGCACAACCACTAAATCAACACATAACAACACCGTCACCCATTCCCCCCCCCCCTCACCCACACACCACACACACACACCCACACACTCCCCTCCCCCACACCACCCAACACACTCCCCCCCCCACACACCCCCCTCCCCACACTCCTCCCCCCCACACACACACACACTCCCTCCTTCCCCCCACACCACGAATAACGCGAGCAACTGCACCCCCATTGCAGTACGAGGGCAGCACGGTGCAAGAACAGCGCACGGTCAACGGAACGTACATGCCCAACGCCGAGTGTGTGGGCATCTTCGGGCAGGTCGTGTCCTCCGAGAAGGCTTGTTTCCAGGGCGAAGTCGGTGCCGGCGGCACTTCGGGCAGTACGTGTCTCCGCTATGACTGATTATGAGGGTGATGATTGGGGTGTGATTGTGATGATGTGAATGATTATGAGGGTGGATTGGCGGTGGTGATTGTGATTGATGAGGTATGATTATAGGGTGATGATTGGGTGGTTGATGATTCGTGATGATGAATGATTTGGCATGATTGTTATGAATGATGATGATTGGGGTGTGATTGTGATGTGATGATTGGGGTGGTGTGTTGGTGATGATTGATTGGGGTGTGATGATTGTGATGATGATGATTGGGTGGTTGATTGTTGATGATGATGATTGTGTGAGGGTGTGATTGGGTGGTGTTGGTGGTGATTGTGAGGGTGATGATTGGGGTGGTGTTGGTGATGATTATGAGGGTGGTGATTGTGATGATTGGGTGGTGGTGGTAATGATTGTGATGATGATTATGAGGGTGATGATTGGGGTGGTGATGGTGATGATTGTGATGATGATTAGGTTGATAGTAATGGTGATGAATGTGATGATGGTGATGACGGTAATGGTGATGACTGGGATGGTGATGATCATGGTGATCTATTATGATAAGGGGAAAAAGAAACAAAGAAAGATCGTACCCCCCACCCCCCACCCCCTTACCACTTTCAGATCCCCCTTTCCTCCTGTTCTACCCCCCCCCCCCACCACCACCACAGCCTTCCTACCAACTCAATCTGCTCCTCCATTCTTAAAGTTATCCTCCATCCTATTCACTTCATTATCCCTTTAACCCCTTCGCTTCCTATCCATTATTCCTCTCGCTCTCCTCACCTTTGCCTGTCTCCTCACTTTTGTCTCTCTCCTCACCGCTCGCCGCTGTCTTCACCTTGGCCCTCTCCTCACCTGTCGCTTCTCTGTTTTTCTCTCCCTCCCCTCTTCTCTCTCTCTTTCTTTCTCTCTATCTATCTTTTCTCTCTTCTCTTCGGTCTTCTCTTCTGTTCTCTCTCTCCTCACCTGTCTCCTCACCTTTGCCTCTCTCCTCTCTCTCCTCACCTTGGTCCCTCTCCTCTCTCCTCACCTTTGCCTCTCTCGATAGCCCCTCTCCTCACCTTAAGCCCCTCTCCTCTCTCTCCTCTCCTTCGCTCTCTCTCTCCTCACCTTTGCCTCTCTCCTCTCTCTCCTCTACCTCTCCTCTCTCTCCTCTCCTTCGCCTCTCTCTCCTCACCTTTGCCTCTCTCCTCTCTCTCCTCTCCTCGCCTCTCTCCTCTCTCCTCAGCATTCACCCCTCTCCTCTCTCTCTTCACCTTTGCTCTCTCCTCTCTCCTCACATAGCCCCTCTCCTCACCTTCGCCTCTCTCCTCAACAGGGCGACGAAGGTGGCCCGATTCTCGTAGACGGCGTCCAGGTGGCTCTGGTGTCGCAGAACGTGGGTTGCCAAGCCTACCCCGCCATCGTCACCCGCCTCGGCCCGTTCCTCGACTGGATCAAGAGCCACTTCGAAGCCTGATCCTCCAAGGTCCTCCTCGAATCCTCGAATCCTCGAATCCTCGAATCGAAGGTCCTCCTCGAAGGTCCTCCTCGAAGGTCGTCCTCGAAGGTCGTCCTCGAAGGTCGTCCTCGAAGGTCGTCCTCGAACGGCGCGAGAAAGGGTCCTGGTCGTCCTCGAAGAAGCGTGGGAGGTTTGGGGGGAATCGCGAGGTGGTTGGAGGGTGGTGAATAAAGCGAGAGGAGGATGATAATTCGTTTTTCATTTTTCACATTTACTCCATGGATAATATGATTTATATGATGATGATAATGTGATAACATTGAAAATAATAGTAATAATACCGATGATGATAATAATGACGATGATGATGATGACGATGATATCAATTATGATGATAATAATTAAATTATCCTAATTGTTACTACTTTATCATCATTATCAATAATGATGTTGATAAATAA